GGACCGGGACCAAAGGCGGGTCATCAAACCGGCACTCGCCAGCGTCAAGGGCAGCCGCGACGCGGTCATCGAGGACGTCTTCTGGGACATTGATTCCAACCAGGACGGCTTTATCGAGCGGCGCGACTTCGAGAAGTACTTTGTGCTGCGCAAGGTGGGGTGGACGGCGGGCGAGATGGCCGCCATGTGGCAGTTCCTTGTCGACTTCACACAGCCGCCGGCCGTCCACCAGGCGGCAGCATATCCCAGCGACAGCCAGGGGGGCGGCGCCGGCGCCCGAGTAGACTTCGAGGCCTTCAAAGAGGCTATGCTGGTGAGTGAGCAAGTGGCCATCCATCCCGCCACAGATGGCGTCATCTGTACGTGTGTGTGTGTGTGTGTGTGTTTAGTATGTCGATCCGTCTGAGGCGCTTCAGCGGAGCTGTGAGCTGGTCGAGGAGAACGAGGCCCTCAAGAGGGAGGTCGACCGCATCACCAAGGAGCTCACTGTCGCAAAGGAGGCCGCCATCGCGCGAAAGACCAAAACCAGCGAGACTGACCCCAAAAGTGAGTGAGAGATGAACTGTATCTGTCTCTCTGTCATTGCCGTTTCATTGCTTGTGTGTCACATGTGTCCACAGGTGGCTCTCTGACCAGCCGTGGCCGCGAGGCTGATGCAGACGTCCTCAGGGCACTTGAGCTGCAGGTGGGTTGGTGTGGGGGCAATCAACTGGGCCATCCATCCATCCATCGCATTCATGTCTGTCTGGCCATCCGTCTGTCCCCATACGCACATTCAGGTTGACGATTGGAAGAGCCGGTGTGGTTTGCTGCAGCAGCGGCTGCGAGAGGCCGACAAGGCGCGAGTAGAGCTGGAGGACAAACTGGCGTCAGAGCTGCACAGCGACGCACAGCAGGTGAGATGAGAGGAGCCATTCCCCAACGGCAGCCATCGGTGTTGCTCATCTGTCTGTGTGTGTGGTGTGGATGTGTGTTGAATCAACCAGGCGATCCGTCGGCTTCAGTACAAGTTGGACCACGAGGCCGAGGAGGCCCTGCAAGCCGAGAGGCGCGAGAAGATGCACTACAAACACCAACTCGAGCTCGTCAAAGACGACTTGCAGGCATGTACACACACACTCACACACACATCGTCGCAACACGAATCCCTCCCCGCATGTATCGTTCCTTTGTTGTCCCTGCAGCTGACACGTGAGCGTTTGGATGCGGCGCACCAGCAGCTGCAGTTGAAGCAGCAGCAGCTGGAGCAGCAGCACCGCGACCACCAGTCATACTGCGACATACTCTCACAGCAAGTCGCCGTCTTCGAGCGACACGTCGCCCAGTCACTCACACAGGGCAACGAGGACCGCCTCCTCAGCTCCCCCCAGGCACACCAGGCCGCCCTCGCCCTCCAGAACGCACCCGCAAACACGATGCAGATGCAGATGCCGATCCAGCAGCAGCAGCAGCAGGAGGGCAATGCCATAGCGGCCCCGCCGTCATTTCTGGGGAGTCCTGGCATGGAGAGTCTGCACATGCCGCCGTCTCGTGGGGGCGGGCCGCTGGCGATGCACCCGGTCCATCAGCTGGGCCGATATAGCCCCCCCTTCCAGCAGCAGCAGCAGCAGCAAGGCCCTTTGTGAGTGAGGATGGGCCAGGGGCTCGGCAGACCAGCATGTGTCTGAAGGGGGGGGGGGGCTGCATTCCATTCATGGGCGAGTACATCTTTCCCTCTGTCTGGTTAGGCGTAGATGGGTTTTGCAGACAGGTATCCTATCCGGCGTATGGGTGGGGTGGGGTACGTGGGTTGGCGCAGACGGGGGGACTGGTCAATTGATTGTACGGATTCATAGCTTTGCTTCCATGTGTGCGTGTGTGCGCGCGGGGGGGGGGTTGACTGACACATGTGCATTGATTGCCTGTGTGATCGGTGACGGTATCGTGACTGCCTCCTGTGTTGTGTGTACAGAACATTCTCCACCTCTTTCGGTGCTCAACACATCACAATACGCTCATTCACGTGGTCACACACGCACACAGATGTCTCGTCACATCAGCCATGGTGACCCAGAGAAACATCGGCCGCTTTTTGTCGCCGTGATGATCTCACGACGGCAACAACAGGACGGCTCACACACACACACCCACGGGGAGAGAAGTCGTGTCAACACCGATCAGGAAGATGTCAAGAAGCAGTATCATGGATATCTTTTCGCCACATCCCTGCCGTCACGGCCCTCAATCTGATGCACTGATTCATCAGGCTGAGCACCGTCACGACAAGGACACTACGAAGACACGCATGATTGCTCCCCTCCCTCGGTCGGATCAAGACAGACACCGCCCTCATTCTCTGTCTGTACACATAAACAGCACAGTACGTACAAGTACACCACTCAAGCCGTAGAAGCCAGCCAGCCAGCCACGGAGATACGAGGCGGCGCACACATCAATACGGTGATGGGATGGAAGCGAAGCCCCCGTATGCCATGTGTATCACCGCCCCCTTGGCCAGTTAGCTAATGGGTCGACCGACACACGTCCCTCACACACACCCACGCACCTGTGTGTCGTTCCCTCCCTCCCTCCTTGGTCGGCTGGTAGCTTGCTCCTATGCGGCCCCCCCGTCTGTGCACCACTTGAGCTCCTCCAACATCTGACACACAACACAAGACAAGACACATGTCGCCCCGCGACGGTCGGTGTGGCATCGGTGTGGTATGCTGAGAGGGGCGGGGGGGGGGGGGGGGG